TTATGATTACACAAAAGTAAGAAAATAGATTGATGAGGGGAAGTAAAAAATAGTATCTTCTGAGATTCAAAATCATCTTATTGAAATGGGAGTATACTGCTACAAAGACATAAAAAAAATGGAAGTAAATTAGAATTTGTCTTATAGGACAACAGACATTGTAAAGTGACCTAGGTTAATGGGGGCACTGCTGAATGGAAAAGAAGATACGGTTTACTGAGCGCTCCTTTATTGGCTAGTAGAGTTAGTCTATTTCCAAAGCTTGGATTGATTGCTGTTACATTCAACTGATCAGTCTGGGCTCAAAACAGTTTTTCTGGGTTGACATGTCATATGGCTGATGTGGAGAGAACTGAGATGGCATTTTAGACTGGGTACAAAAAGATTAGATTTAAAGAATTTATTCCAAACATCTCCTCTGCATTATTCACTAATCAACTACAAGACAACCTAACCAAGATCCTGTTACAGTATATGTAAGTTTACTTGTATATATTTTTTCTCCTTTTGAGAAACAAATTTTACACCGGTATCTAGTCACTCCTGTTGGGAATACTTACAGAAACAGTGGAAAGGAGGAAAAAACGAGGGGGTGAGAAGAGACAGGAAAGGTAGTACAGAAAACTGAGTGAGCAAAGAGGGTTTTACAGTCCAGCCTCAGGTACGATGAGGGAGATGAACGAGCATTTATTCCTTCTTCTCCTGTGGGGAGGTTGCCAGATGTGTTAGAATGACATTCAGAGCCAGGATAGAATATTGTGTCTGTCCTGATAACATTGAAGTTGAAGTAACTCTGGGCTGGGTACAGTGTTTTTGGTAAATAGCTTAGCATTTTGTACAATGGGTATTACACTGCTCTATTAACACATAGTTTAAAACATTCCATAAAAACATGCCTATAAGTATTTTGATATCCTATGAGGCACATAGTAGGTACACAATAAATATGGTAGCTATTCTATTTTACTCAGTTATGGTGCACTGAATAATTACAAGTATCTCACAGAGTTTTCTCTAAGTCAAGTTTGCAAGTTACTCGGCCTCTCTGAGAATCCTAGGAAGGGGCAGTCAAAAGAATCCTAAAATCCAAAGGACTATGAACATATGAATAAAGTCCAGATGGAGGGATGAGTGAGGGACCTCTCATTTGGCATCTTACCTAGAACAAAACAAAATCAATTTATATGCATCTCACACCTGTTGAGGGAGGACAACCCTGAAAATGTTCTAGCTGGCCAAGGATAACTACTGGAAATTAACTATACAATTCTCAATATTATTCATTTAAAATGCTACTGACAGCTCTTATTTAATGTGATGCCTTTATTGTTCTATCTCACTTTTTATGGGAGGTTTTCCTATCCTTGCTCATAACTTCTGCTTCACCAATCCTATTTTTTATACCATTTTAATTTTCTCAAATGGAAACGTATCATAGGAGTCTCCAGGCACAAACTCTAACAGTAGAAACGAACTGCTTTTACAGGAATCTGCAGCCTCTGTTTTGACCTTGGTAAACCCCATTATCTAGCTAATTATTGGACACTCGCCTTATTTAGAAACTAGGTAGGGTTTCCATACTGAGTATAGTACACCCAGCCAAAGTTCAATTTCAGCTAAACAATGAATAATTTTTAGTAGAAGTATGTTCCAAATACTGCATGGGACATACTTGTTCTGAAATTATTTGCCACCACAGCAACATACCTCAAAACAAAATACAAACCATATAAATAGTCTAAACACATTACTGAACTTATACATTGGGAAAGCTCAGTGACTTGAAGAGTAGTTTAATTTTAATCACGCTTCTCAACTAAAGTGAGTTTACTACATCTGCTATATTTCAACACTAATCATTTTTTAATCTTGATATAAAAGTGAAAAGATGCAGATAAATCACTGAAATGCATAAGAATCTCAAATCCTCATGATAACTTTCTAAATCCTATGTTTTGTGAAAGAGGAATTAGTGTTAAGACCTCAGGCAGACATGCTAAATTATCCCTTGCTTCCTCTAGTAAATTTTCTATAATCTATGTACTATGACAAGTTTCGCTATTCTAAGAGAATTCTGACATTCTAAAATTCCTTTAAAGGTTTTATTTACTAAACATATTATATCACCAGAAATTTTTTTAAATATACTTTTTATTGATTTCTTAGAGAGAGGAAGGGGGAGAGAGAGAGAGAAACATCGATGAGAGAGAACATCAATTGGCTGCCTCCTGTACACCCACCACTGGGGATGGAGCCTGCAACCAGGGGACGTGCCCTGACTGGGAATTGAACCGGAACTTCAGTCCACGGGACAACACTCAATCCACTGAGCCACATCGGTTGGACACATCACCAGGAAATTTAAAGAGAAAATCTCAATGCCCTTCTAACCTTCTAAATCTCAAACTACAAACCCATTTTTTTTTCATGGGCTTGGAGAAGTGGGAAATACAAGATATTTATTTGTAAGTCAAAATGTAAAACAAAATCCCCCTGGCAAGCTAATGATGACTTGTGACATAACATTCCCAAAAGAACAGAAGAATAAGAAGTTGTTTAAAATTATGTTTCATCTAAAGTCATAAAATCTTTCATCATAATGCCACACATTATATATCCTTGCATTTCAATAAATAATATTTTATCTTGAATCCTTAATCATGTGTAATCACTTAACCTAGGCAAAGATTCAAGGGTTAACCAGAAAAACAGCAAATTTCATTATTTCAGAAATGCCTGCAATTCCATTGTCAAGGCCATATGAAAGGGAAGGCATGAAACCCCACCGCACCATGGACCCTAACCCACTGTATGCATATATATCCATTACCACCCGCAAAGAATAACCACAAGAATAAATCATGCATTTAATGTCACTGGTAGTTAATGTTGATTAACTCTATTTCAAAATGCATTATGACCAATAAAACTTTCAACAAGGTTTATTTTTCTGATGGAAAGAAAAAGGCTAAAGAAATCATTCTTTCAACATGTACAAGCACATTTCATCTATTATCACTGTAAAAACAAAAATATTTTTAATATTTATATAACTTCAGAATTAGATTTTACTTTTCTAAATGAGCCAGCTTTATAAAAGATGACATTTTTCAACATTTTTAATGTATCTTGAGACTGTTTAATTTGATTCATAACTGACCCTCCTCATAGCACACATATGTAATAAAATATGGGTAGTTTATATCAACTATAAAGTATATAAAAGCATTGAAATCTCTCCAACAGTGTTCTAGGATGTACTAAGAAACAAGCAGATAGGTCTAAAGACAGATTGCACAATAAGGTCAACACTAATAGAGTGGTTTTCTTCAAACGCATTGCAGAAAGTTGAACAAACATTTTACATTTCAGAGTATAGCTGTTTTAATGTCACATGTCAAGTAAGCTCCAAAGTGGGAAATGTTAGCAACTTTAAATCTGCAGGTCCTGGATTAAACAACATAAAGGAAATTTGCAGAAATGACAATGTATTCAGAAAGTACAATAGGTTGAAGGCAAGGGTCTCTTCCTGAGGGTCTAATTAGGTGCCCCGCCATCTCTGCTTTTAAAAAATTTATCTCATAGAGACACCTTAACAGAAGCTATCAGCTTTGACAGAATACCGAAATCCTGGCAGTGAACCATAAATTGACCATTACCATAAAAAGAGCTGCTAAATGAGGAACCATGTGCTCAGTATAAAACTAATTTCATGCTTTCAAAAGCACACGGTGGCTTCTAGCAAGATAGTGGCCCTGGGACTCGCTGAGACAGATTGGCGAACACAAATGGTTTGCTCCTGATGCGTCTGCTTAGCCAAGCTTTACATGTACTGGCAGTAAATGGGGTTCTCGAATCTTCTGTCAAACAAATACACACTTATCTATAACTTGAGAGCTGAGAGCTATAAAACAGCTGCCTCAAATAAATTTAGCAGGAAAAACACATAAACACACACACACACGCACGTGCACACACACATATACATACCCCATGTGCCATGTTAGCTTCCAATCAAATAAAAATAGGTTTCTCTGCAGACCTAATGTTCTAAACAGACACTTAATAAGCACACAGCTATTAGACTACATCATAACTCTTACAGTCCTTTCTTTTTTCTTTAGAAACAGCTTCTCATCATGTAGGAATTACGACTCAGACGAGCCTAAGCAATAGGACTCCATCTACTCGGAGGCTAACTTTGAGTTTACCCTTACAGAGTTGGCTTTCAAATCCTCGCTACATATAATGCCACATCAGACCTCTCTGGGCAAGACAATCTAGTCATTTAACTTCCCAGGTGAGTGTTAGTACTTTATTTACATTTAAATGATAAAATCTGCTACATTAAAGACGTCACATCTAATTAAAACATGCTTTAGGAGGAAATGCTGCTAATTTTCTCCTTCTCTCATTCAGTATTCCATCTCGAGAAATCAATTACTCTAGGTTTTCCAGTGCATGACAGGTCATAACTTTTAATTTTTAATTATGTCAAGCTTAACAAGGTGTCAACTCCAGTATGTAATCCATTTCACTTACTTTGTCAGTTATCTCGTAAACATCACTTGTTTCCTCCTATACATATATTTCACGTCAAAGAGTCTACAAAGTACATTTAGTTCCAAGCCTTTTTGCTTTTGTATACCTGAAGCACATAAGAACACTGCTAATTACCTCCTTAATGTCATGATAGCAAATCCCACAATTTCACTGATTTGTTCTGAATGTTTAAAATACAAAGGAAGTCACCTACTGGTAAGATGTCCTTGGCAAACAGCTAGCACAGAAAGCAAAGAACGTTATCACACCGGTTTAAGGAGTTACTTCCCAATAAAATTAAAGAATCGTATATTTTGCTCCCCGGTGCTGCCCCTCGGAGCTGTCAGTGCGGCGTGATGAACACAATTGATAACTCCACAGGATCCAGCACAGCGTACGGAAGAATGTTACTGACACCCCAGATCCCTGCATCCAAGTTTTAGAATAAAAATGCTCACCTCTGCTAGGAAGTCCACTCCACATCCTGGCAGGGCTCTCACCAGCTTCGAGAGCAACCAAGTTGGATAAACAAAACTTCCAGTATGTGACCAGTGTAAGGCACAGTGCTACCGAGACTTGGCTCCAGCCCTGATGATCTGTGTGACAGTACCACACTATATCAGTGCAGCTCCAAACCTTCCCAGATGCTGGCTTATTGCACTGCTCATTGAAAATCCTTTACACGCTGGCAACATTTTAGGGAAGGACAAGCACACTCTGAGTCATTTGTAAAGAAAGCAGAGCAATTTCAATTCTATATCTCCACGCCTGCTGAAACCGGCAGCACCGTCAACCTACAAGTCTGAGGTGGATTTAAGCCGAGAAACAGGCAACCTAAGCCTTCATTATCAATGCATGAAATCAGCCACTGTGATCAAATTCAAGCAAACCACAAAAAGGATATGATTACGAAAGACTCCACAGATTTAGCACCAAACCTTGTGGAATGAAGACTCATCTACTGAAATTGTGTAAATGTTAAAAATAGCTCTGGCTTTTCAACAATGAGCTGGATACAGAGAAGAAATCAGTAGTCTATATTATAAGGACTTACCATAAAAGCTGCAAAAATCAAAATAGCTGTAGGTTCCTGGGACTTCTCTACAGACAAATGAAATCACTAGAGGCTATTACAATTATAACACAAAAAATGACCATATGTTTGACACAGATATCCATTAAAAAGCAAGTTTAAATATATTTTAACCCCTTTGTGCCTGTCTCTAAATTAAAATAATGATGGTAGTAAAAATGTGCCGGGCTATGCTAGCACCAGGGAAGAAAACAGTCAATGTTACTTTAAAACAAATTCTTAAACAATAAAAATTTAAATGTATCCTGTGTAAGAAGAAAATAAACATACATACAAGTTAGAGAGTATTTTTAATAGCATAATCTTTGACTGTTGTTTTTAAAAAATCTATAGTTAAACCCATTCGTCCCTACCCCAGCCAACCCAAATTTATATCATTACCTTCACCATCCTTCCTCTTCCATTACGATTCTAGAGGATGCGAAAGCCAGTTGATATAGTCTCAAAGAGGAACAAGGTAGCTATACCCCAGAAAGTAGCAGCAATGTTATGAGATCACAAGATGCAGAAATTTGACGTGTGCATGCAAAGTGCAGAGCATAAAGGACATAAAATATTTATCAAAAATCACAAAAATTACTGGAAGGAATTCCGAGTAGGCAGCATTGATAAAGCACCCATTTAAGGTTCTAGTCAGATTTCTTTAAATGGGTTTTAGGTTCCCATTAAAACTCTAAAGAGGAACAAATCAGGATCCAATAGAGGATCTTCTGTCCGTGACTGTGTTCAGTTCTAGTAATACTACCAGCTCTCGGGTACCACATGTTGTAGCATCTACAATCCAAACAGATGTGTAAAAAGAAGCACTATTCCACAACATGCATTTACATAACACAGCATTTTGGAGCAAGGTTAAACATGGAACACCCGTGGGTATCCTCATTATGTCCCTACGTGTAGAGTTGAATCCTACAGGCTGCTGGTTAGACACCTTTCATTGGAGACAGTTATGGATATACATGAGTGGACACACATGCAAGTATGCATGTATGTGTGTGTGTGTGTGTACCCACATCACAGAAGAATGCGCCTCTACTTTTGCTGCCTGAATTCCACTCGTTTTGTGTCCCGTGAAGCCCCTAGGACAACACTGGAATGTACTCTGGGAAATGGCACTGGGCATCACTGACTCGGCAACTGCTCGGTGTTCTGTTTCCCTCTCTTCCTCTGTACTTCTCTCGTCTTGGAAAATAGTCCATGAGAGACTGTGTGCCTAAAATCCATTTTCATCATTCCCATTCATGCTGCTCCTTAGTAATAAAAGTTTAAAATGAAACCATAATATTTGATGACAGGCCCTCAATCTCTTATCTAAAACCCTCATTGTCAGAATGAAAATGCATATAACATGAGTTATATAATGCCCCCAGAGGGGCCTGGGGTCACACTCTATAATCAGACACATTAACATTTCTGTAGCAAAACATGTACTAGACGGGATAAATAAAGACTATCATTAACTTCTCATCAGTTCAGGTCAAGTTTTCCCAACAATATGAATTACAAAACCTTATTTTCATAGCTTCTTAGATTTCAGAAATTGTAGGTGAGAGGTTACAGGTCTGTAGAAGTGTTTTCCTAAACTGTTACAAGGTTAAGAACTGGAAAATGGCACCTAAGCAAATGTTCTCTTGCTTGAGCAAGCGATTTAAAGATTAGCATTGTTTTAACAAGATGGGCAAAAAATACAAGAAAATACTATGAAGACCGGGACACACAGCAGATCAGAGACATGGCTGTCATGCAAGATGACAAAACCAGGACATGGGAATGAAAGGCAAGAAGAAAACACAATGATAACATCACCACTCATTGATTACCTAATATATACCCAGTAATGTGAAAGGCACTTGAAATAAATATTTACTTAAGCAACCTACTTTATAATTTTCAAAGGAAAATTTTAAAAGAAAAAATATATTTTCAGAATGAAGCATAAAACACTGGGTGACCTCACCCTCTTCTCAATGTACCCAAAAGCAAAATGTCCATAATGTTAAACAACATATGTAAGGATGTCAAAAACAAAGGTAAAGGGCCTTGTTTTATTTTTGTATACTATATACTATTTGGTACACGAGTTCCTCAAAATCACTTGTAGAAAAAAAAGTAGTAATATTCTTTACCATCAATATTCAAATTATTTAACTTTAAAATCTATTCAAAAAATATTTCTAAGAAAGTATTATGCTGTATTTACTTGGAATTTTCCTATGAGTGTGCTTCCCAAACAAAGACTTTTTATAGTAAGTACATTAACAAACTTGAACATAACATTGGCACTGTTATGGCCTTAAGACTTTGGATCTATCTACATCATTCACCATCTTCTAAGAGATCTTGGTCAAAGGGTACAAAGTTGTCGTTATATGGGATGAATAAGTCTCACTGTCTACTGTACAACATGATGACTGAAGTTAATAATACTGTACTGAATACTGAAAATTTGCTAAGAGAGTAGATTTCAGGTGCTCACACCACTCACAAAATAAGTGATTACATCTGGAGATGGATATTTTAGCTGGCTTGACTGCAGTAACCATTTCACTATATAAATGTATATCAAATCATCATGTTGTACAACTTAAATATATACAACTTTTATTTAAAAATAAACTGTAGGTATCCCCTTTCTAAAAAAAAAGAGCACTTCTTTAGTGCCCTTTGGGGCTCAGACTTGCAGTGGGAAGGAGTCCTACAGGCGTTTACTGGAACATGGTCTTCCTACTCGCCAAGCAAACTACAGTGAGTGTGCGCCTCTAATCTTAGTATCTAGAATATGATCACAAAGTCATCTTCCATGTGATGAAAGAAACTGCATTTATTTGTTTTCCAAAGTACAACATAATTTGGTGAATTATTTCTTTATCAACCAAAATAGTGCCCTGGCGGTTTGATGGAATTATTACAACTTCTAAGAGTAACTGATTATCTCGAGTGGGAAACTCGCCACGATCAGAATCACATCTCCTCATACCTTCCACAGCATGTCCGCATAAGAAAAAAAGTAACTCCCAGCATCTGGAGGCCAAGATTTCTGGGCGGCAAGGCAGGCTCGCCAGAGGGCTGGCTCTTGAAATGAAATGGATCAGCATGATGTAAATTCTATCACACTCAGTCCATAAAAAATATACAGTAACCAGCCCACCCAGTTCCTCCAAACTCCTCATGTGATCAGGAGAAAAAGCAAACATGTTTCACAGTCAGCCTAAGAACCAACCCCATGTCAACTGGAACATTCCACAGGGATGCCTAACTTGGAATGATGTCCAACAGCCTCCGTGGCTTTGATGCTGTCAAGGTATGAAAGTAAAACATCTGTGTGAAGAAAGTAGGTCAGCCAAGGTGACCACACACTCACCCCACAGTGAGGATACACACTCACTACTTTAAATTTCTACTGAGCCAGCTACCAAAAGTCTTTCTCCCCAGATTAGTTTAATATAGGTAACAAACACACAAAAATAGGTTACGCATCTATTCTAAGATAACACCCGAATTTTCAGTGGGTGTTTGATGATTCAAATCACTCAGCCACCCAAACACTTACCATAATTGTCTAAGATTCAGTTTCCACACTGAAAGGTGTTAGTACTTAGTTTTTAAAATCTAAAAACCAAGGCCTGATAGAAAACATTTATCTGTCAATGAATATATGTAAAAGTTCATAGTTCAAAGCATTTTTAAAGGAAGACTATCAGCCCTGGCCGGTTTGGCTCAGCAGTTAGAGCATCGGCCTGCGGTCCAGAGAGACCCAGGTTCGGTTCCCGCTAAGGGCACGTACCTCGGTTGCAATTTGTCCCCGGCCCTGGATGGTCGTGTGGGTGGCAGCCACTCGATGTGTGTCCCTTTCATGTCTATGTTTCTCTCTCTCCCTCTCTTCCTCTCCCTCCCTCCCACTCTATCTGAACAAAAAAAAAACAAAAAGGAAGACTATCAGTACTTCACTTAAACAGGCCAAATGCCCCTTTAAATTCCTTTTTTATAAAAGCTCCACTCAAACTCCTTAACATATCCATTCCTTGGAGTTCCATACTTCCATAATTGACACCCATGTTTCCCATTTGAAAGCCACTTGTACAGAAAGCATATGAAGCTGTTCTTTAATGTCTTTTTCAGGTCCACCTTAGGCGTAATTCTAGATTTCTGACACACTCAAAATGTCTGGGGCTCTATCTCAGAGCATTTTGGGGGGCTGGAGTTATAACTGGAGCTTTCATCCTGTTTCCAAAATGCTCTACTCTCATTCATAAGGAACCTCAATCTCAATAAACCTACACTATAAATCTCAATTATATTGACCTGAGGAGTACAGATATGGAGCACTGACTCTATTCTTTTCGAAAGGATGACATTCATAGTTAGAAAAATACTGGGAAACTTACAGTGACCAATCCTGGGTAAGACAAAGAGTCAGGTAAGTAAACCAATATTCCTCCTACCGCATCATCACTGGGTCTGAATTATTCCGAGTAACAGACAATTCTGGGCTCTCTCATAAGGATCTAGAATTCAAACCAAGGAAATCAAAGGCCCTCATTTCAAGGATGCAATTTGGTATATTTTGACCATGACGTTCTGCCCTTCTAAGTCTGTTCTTTCATAGACAAAGGAAGTCATATGGGCTCAACCTAAAAAATAGGTTGTATAATAATTTTTCCATGAAAGTTTTGTATGGACTTACCTTTTTTTTAGGACATTTTTTCCATTTTTTTATTCAGAGACAGTGAGAAGGAGAGAGAGGAAGAGCGAGAGAGAGAAACATCGACGTGAAAGGGACACATCGAGTGGCTGCCTCCCACATGACCCAACCAGGGCCGGGGACAAACTGCGACCAAGATATGTGCCTTTAGTGGAAACCGAACCTGGGTCTCTCTGGACCATTGGCCGATGCTCTACCTGCTGAGCCAAACCGGCCAGGGCTGGACTTACCTTAATAGGTTTAAAGAAATATGTGCATGTTGTAAATAATTTAACCCACTTGCCTCCACATTAAAATGTTGTACTTACTTAATACACTTACTGCAGAAATTCACTGATACTTCAAAGGTTTGTTATACTTTCACCATGGTACGTACATTTTGTAAAAGATTTCTTGGTTAAATGATAAATGGCAAACTGATTCATCAATAAAAAGGAAAAGCAAGCATTTAAAACCATATGT